GACTACATTCTCATTCAAATGTTTTACGTATTTTCCAGTTTCATTCAAGAAAGTTTGTAGGCATCCAATGGTTGACTCCACCATAGGCTGTATCATAGCTAGGTTCAAGTTGTCCTTTCGAAAGACGGTGACAAGTTTTTCCATGTATGGCAGAACATCAGACAACATGTATGTTGTCACAACAAATGAAAACGTTTTCAATTTTTTTGCGAGATTCACCCCCACTGTGTTGTTACGCTGGGCTGCTTCTTCCTCAATTTCAATGACTATAGGTGACCAATTTAATCTTGTAGAAGTAACAGCTCGAATCAGGGACAACCACCTTACGGTACAGGGCTGTTTGACACTGGAGAATTCTGTGTCATCCAAAACTTTAGAAAGTTCTTTTAATCTGTCATACCGTGTCGCAGAATACTGGTACAGTTTATACACGTCATTGATTGTTGTACGGTAATCTGATATGCACTTTGATAGTTTAGCTGCATCCTGTGACGCCAGGGCAACATGATGTGCAATGCAGTGTACGTGCACTAAGCACGGACAATCACTTGTTTTAAGTCTCACACCAACACCACTCCTGATGCCAGTCATGACGCTCGCCCCGTCCGATCCCAAACCAATTATTTTGTTCATTGGCATACCCCATTCCTCCATCAACTCTCTGATCTTTGCAGTTATTATTTCTGCCGTTCCCCCATGAACGGTATAGTTTCCAAGAAATATTGTCTCTGCTTTGCCGCCATTTACCATACCACGAAAATGATCAGGTTTTTTTCAACAGTAATGTTGACAGTTTCAGTTTCGGTTTTGTTGATTCGGTAATTGCGCTTTCCATTTCTTCCACGCTGTCCCCATGGGTGTATACAACCCCTGATAATGACAAACAGCCATTTCTTTTCTGCAGTTCAATAAGACTTGAAAATTTGTCTGCGGCAATATTCTCTTTTGCCATATATAACACCGTTCTCATCATCACAGTTAGGTTGTCATCCGTTTTTTCTTTAGCTACGTACATGTGGCCAGCCATGACTTTTTTATTTGACATAATAAAGTGACTGTTACTGTCTCTGTGCTCTTTTATAGCCGACTTTTGCATCCCTTGGTGAACCCATTCAGCTTACCTGCTACCTCACATATACGACAAAACATCGTCTCTGTTTCGGACTCGTGGCGTAACCATTTAAATTCATTCAACCAGTCATCGTGAAATTTCCTGATTGTTGTCGTTTTACCTTTTGTAGCAGTTTTGGGCTTTTTAATCCCGCCGTCACAATCAGTACTATCACTGGATGACTTTTCTAATTCATCATTTGTACGTTTGCGGGTATTTTCGGGGTTGCCACTGAAAAAAAATAAAAGCTTCGTCTGCTTTGATGACGCCGTGTTACATAATCTCGGGTCACGTGGTTTGAAATGACATTTCACTTTGGTTCGAGACTAAGTCGCTAGGAATAGATATTTAACCTCCAAGCAAAGCATAATGTTATTTCCATGTGCTAAAAATAGACAACAGGGAAACCCTGCTGATAACAGACAAGCTGGCTTTGTTCGAAAAATATACTTTATTCAATATCGCCGATCTTTTGTTCAACAACAAAGATTTATAAGGTACTTTTTGCCGGTCCACTGGGACTGGCAGGCATATGAATTACCGGTCCTAGCATAATTTTACCGGTAAAAACCCAGTAATTACCAGTAAACGGGAACACTGTGGAGGCACGAAGAAGTGTTGCCCAATGCGACACTGCCAATATCACTGCTTTGAACTCAAGTTGTTGATGTGAAGATGGCTGTCTTAGAGAGACCATAGCCCTGCCACTTGTTTTTCCTGAGAATCGGCTCTCCAACCCATAGTTGAGGCTTCAACATAGAGTCACAATACACTTCGCAGGCGTTCAACAGAACCAGCCACCTTTTAGAGATGTGGTCGTAAATGGTTCGGCATGGAGATTAGATCCTCAAAATCATCATTCTGGAGATAGGGCTTGAGAAAGCACTGAATTGGTCACAGGTGAAGTTGTCCTCTCCTGGTGAGAGCCTGTGCTACGTCAGGCTAAATCTGTAGCCACTGATGCAGAGAGAGTGCCAGTGGAACAAGGTGTTGAATTTTCATCCAAAGATCATTGGGCACAAACATTTTGCCTAGGCCCGTGTCAAATATGGCTCCGATAAACTGTATAAATGTTCAGCTGAAGTCATTTCAATTTTTTTGACATTGCATGAAGTTGAGATGTAGGAGAAGAAGTGTGTCCTGTAGATTTAGACTGATCACAAAGAATCGTACACAGTAACGTGATAGACATCATCTAGAAGTGTGGAGGTGTCTCTAGGAATAACTTGTTGAAAATTTTCATGTTAAAAATGAGCTGGACGTGAAGGCTGTCTTTCTTTGGGTCTAGGTATATCGGACAGTAGAAACCTTGTGTCATCGTAGCTGTGTCCAGACACTCTATGGCGTTCTTTGCCTGTAACTAACCCATAGCATCTGTGAGAACCGGAAGATGCCTGTCTGGATGAAGCGTCACAATGAAGGGAAGATGATATCCATTTGTAGAGGATGTAGTACAAACGGATAGTCGAGGATGGCCCAATTCTTTGCGAATAGAACCAATCTTCTGCCAACTGGTCATGGGATCACAGGATTGAGTGGAAGCAGAAGTCTGACAGAGTAGGAATGACAGCTGGTTGTTTACAATCCTTCAGTTGCTCTTGAAGCGGGTATCGTTGTAAGTGGAGCAAATCCACTGTCACTTGGAGAGAAGAGTCATGCTCAACTTCCTGTGCGATGTCCTGGGTGAGCCCAGCAAAAGGGAAGGAGTTGACCATGGCAGATGATAAAGGTGATCTTTAAGGTGATCATCACATTAGCAGTGTTGAAGGATAGTAATTGACCCCACGTGATGGGCAAGAAGATACAAAATGGCCATTTTGGGAGAAGAAGCTTGATCCATGATTGAGGTAAGATCTTCAGTCACCGAGTGAATAGTGGAGACAAGAGGTAGTTTTCTATGAATAGTAGTGTCCAGGTGCACTAGCTCTCTATTGTCCACAGAAGAGCAAGAGAACTGACGTTTAAGAGCCAAGGTAGCTATGTCATCGTCCAGCTAAGGAGCCAAAGTCGCAAGGCTATGACTACCAGCATCAGTCAACAAAAAGCGAGGAGACTGTAAACAATTGCGTAGCCGGTGAAAGGAACCAAAAGCTTTATCCAGATTAATTATGTTAATAGCCATATCCATTAAAACCAGCCTGGGAGGAGGCGTAATATTTGGTGAAGTTGAAGAGGGGACAACAAAGATGATATGGTATCTTCGGCCTTAGTACTCTTCGGAAGCGGGAGTGTATCCGCAATCCAAATCAAACCATCTGTCATATGTAAAGATTCAAATCATGCTTTACCATTATCCATGCTTCATTGACCTGCCTTGATCTTCTCAAGTTTTCTGGTAAACAAATAGTTTTCAGGCTATGACATTGGCAATGACTTTGACATAATTGTGCAATGTCTCATAAAAATTCCCTCTGTCTATGACGTAGAGATACATGATCATGATGATATGTAAAGTATTGTAAGTAAAATCAAATTCTGACAAAACACCGAAATGGTGTGTAAATGTGTAAATGGGGCTATTTTATCATCTTTAAACATGACATTGCAGATGAAACACAGTGTCCAAACTTTAAACATGACATTGTAGATGAAACACAGTGTCCAAACTTTAAACATGACATTGCAGATGAAACACAGTGTCCAAACTTTAAACATGACATTGTAGATGAAACACAGTGTCCAAACTTTAAACATGACATTGTAGATGAAACACAGTGTCCAAACTTTAAACATGACATTGTAGATGAAACACAGTGTCCAAACTTTAAACATGACATTGTAGATGAAACACAGTGTCCAAACTTTAAACATGACATTGTAGATGAAACACAGTGTCCAAACTTTAAACATGACATTGTAGATGAAATACAGTGTCCAAACTTTAAAAATGACTATGCAAATGAAACATAGTGTTCAAACTTTAATTCCAATAGTAACAATAGTAACTTTCCAGAAATATGTCACGAGCCACAGCACATTTATCTGACAATCAGTCGGTGATTTGCCATTGACCAGTAGGTATAAAAAAATGTCCAGTAGGTTGCAGTAATTAACCTTACACCCCTATTTTCATGCCTGTGACCAGGTCCACATGCAACACCAGACGTACATAAATTTCAGTGCCGCCGCTAAATTACTGGACATTTGCCATATCGAACAATACCCTCTTTGTGTCATTATGATATGTAGGCTTGGAACAAAATCATCATGCAACACCTTGTATATCTACAAAATACCGCAAAGTTTTGTTTTCAGTAAATTTAGTTTACAATTCATGAGATATGACATTAGAGGATCCAGATAAACCAATGAAATCATCAACCTTGCCAGTGAATGAGGTCATCGGCTGCCATATTCAAATTTTGAGGTACAACCCATATTTTAAATGGAAGATGTTTTAACACAAGAAATAACATTAGAGATGAATGTAGAACACTTTCCATTTTGGCACTTTTAAAGTTTATTGCATTTAATAGAGAAAATGTGTTTAGAAAGTTTTTAGTGCTCCTACGCTTGTCGCAATTTTGAAAATACACCACGGGTTACCTCCCTTGCCTTATGATTAAAAGATGTAGGGTGATTTGAGTGTGATAATAACATACCTTGTAATTTGAAGGCATCACTGAAACCTCAAGGCAAAGGTGCCAATAAAGAATTATGTCCCTTTAAGGAAGTGTTACTGTTCTTTTCGCCAATGTCAAACAAACCTCTAAACACCCAGTAATCTGGGTGCAGCATAGAAATTTGCGTATGCCTTGAAATCTGGTGTTGTGTCCGGACATGGAGATCACAAAGAAATATATGAAAGTTCCAAAGACTCACAAATAAACAAACCCAGATAAATCAATTATAACTAAGGTAATTTTCTACTTGATGTACAGTAGCTTACCCGCACTAAGTTATCCACTGCCACCTTCACAGCTCGTACAGGATGGGCCAGGTCAGGCATGGCATTTCCATCTTCAGCCTCTTCATGGAGGATGACCAGTCTTGAAACCTGGATGGATGAGCAAATATAGTCGGTGGACAAGACTAAAACATCAACATGATGAACTAATACATCTAACAGTCCTCAGGAGAAATGAGTGTAACATCGCATTCAAGATTATTTCACTTAAATAGCTAAGTACATGCCAGTTTATAGTACTAGTAAACTAAGATATCATGACGCAGTTGAACATGGATACCCTACTAGGCACAGTATATTGACTCTGAGCCGATAAGTCTTTGTCTCCTTAATGCCAAAAGCGAGGCAGGGTAACAAGTTCCATCTTTCAACATCTATTGGTATGACACTGTGTCCTCCTGGATCAGAATATTTGGTAGGCAAAACTTTGCATGGACCATCATCCCAACATCTTTCCTGCTTGAAAATAACATTTAGTTCTAAGTCATTTGGGGTTCTTTTGTAACAAGAAGTAGTAGAAGCAGAAACCTGTTGTCTGTTGTCATTACTCCGCAATGTATGCAGAAAGCACCATGAAACATGATGGCATGCCAGTTTTCAATGTGGTCTAACAAAGGAAAAGCTTGTGCATATGTGGCGCATATCTTGGAAATACTAACATGTACCTAACTAAGTTCCCTTGGCAGGCAAATTGGGAGTAAATTGTTATTTGGTTCAAAATAGGGATTTTGTTATAAATTCTTATTTACAGAGGTATTCTAACATTACATTGCAACATTGCATTCAATACAAGAATATACATTACTCCTGACGTAATGGAGGTTGTATTCTTTGGAGTATTAACAATGAATCCATTGATAATTCTTACGAATACAAAACCATCAAATTTGGGTCTCTTCCAAATAGTCAGTATTTTGGGGTTACTTATCATGCTTATTGCAGTAAACCATTATTCCAGATATTTTGACTAACAAGTATTTGTCACAGAGTGACGAAATATCCCCCGCCTGTACACCATAGTACCAAATATGAAGACAATCCAGCGATTAGTTCTTGAGATATTGTGGCAACACCGTTTTCCAACTCCAAAAACGGATTTGCCTGCTGTGACCTTGAAAATGGGGTCAAGGTCACCAAATCTGACAGGTGTATGCGGTGTCTGTATATACACCATAGTTCCAAATATGAAGACAATCCAGCGATTAGTTCTTGAGATATCGCGGCAACACCGTTTTCTAACTCCAAAAGCAGATTTGCCTGCTGTGACCTTGACAATGGGGTCAAGGTCACCAAAACCGACTGGTGTCTGCGGTGTCTGTATATACACCATAGTTCCAAATATGAAGACAATCCAGTGTTTAGTTCTTGAGATATCGCGGCAACACCGTTTTCCAACTCCAAAAGCAGATTTGCCTGCTGTGACCTTTAAAATGGGATCAAGGTCACCAAAACCGACTGGTGTCTGCGGAGTCTGTATATACACCATAGTTCCAAATATGAAGACAATCCAGTGTTTAGTTCTTGAGATATCACGGCAACACCGTTTTCCAACTCCAAAAGCAGATTTGTCTGCTGTGACCTTGAAAATGGGATCAAGGTCACCAAAACCGACTGGTGTCTGCGGAGTCTGTATATACACCATAGTTCCAAATATGAAGACAATCCAGTGTTTAGTTCTTGAGATATCGCGGCAACACCGTTTTCCAACTCTAAAAGCAGATTTGTCTGCTGTGACCTTGAAAATGGGATCAAGGTCACCAAAACCGACTGGTGTCTGCGGAGTCTGTATATACACCATAGTTCCAAATATGAAGACAATCCAGTGTTTAGTTCTTGAGATATCGCGGCAACAAACAGGTGGGACGTACGGACGGACGGACGGACGGACGGACGTACGGACGGTCGTGAATACTATATCCCCCGCTTCGCGCTTTCGCGCGGCGGGGGATAATAATCATGATATTGCAGGTGCATGTGATTGACATCACCTCAAAGGGTCCGATTCTGGAATAATGCCAAGAACAAAATATGTTTGTGTCCAATTCCCCCAAATATATACATAGCCACCTCTGCTCACATAATTTTCAAGACCTGACTCCTCTGACGTCACTTCAAGGTCTGGTGGCGTCACTTCCAGTGACATCATTCCTGTGATCTCTGATCTGATCAGATGCTGTTAACTTATGAATTGTCTTACACTTAGTAAACAATAAAGTACAATAGTACTAGCATTTCAAAGCTGTTGCTAAGGTAGTACTGCATAACATGTGCGAAAATACAGTTATAACTATATGGTTTCAAATAATAAACACTGTCACACAGTATTGTTGTTACTAAAGATATGATTTCTCAGTGTGCTTTTCTGGCTCCGGGAACATAATTTCATTTAGTGCTTCTCATTTAATGGGTTTATTGAAACCATAATGCACCGCTTTGTTTACCTCCATTACATCATTTCCTCTTCCAATCTCCCGCCACTTATGTCATAATTCTACTTCCTATGACGTCATTAAACCTTCTTTCCTGTCATCAGCACTGTCCTTTAAATTAGATTACCGTTACTGTCAAACAATTTCTCTACCAGTTTTTGTACAGCGATCCTCTACTTTTTGTCTCCCACCCTGAAGGAATTTCAACACTGTCAATAATAAACAATAAAGTACAATAGTACTAGCATTTCAAAGCTGTTGCCTAAGGTAGTACTGCATTTTGGGTTTACTTTCTTTATAAATTCAGCATGTTCAGTAGACTGTTAACTATCCATGGCATTATCTACTAATCACTGATCCTTTGGGTAAACTCTGGCACTGTTGTGTATTAGAAGTTTTTGTATTTGGAAGTGTGAGTGAGTTGATTTTAATGACACTTTTGAACAGTATTCAAGGTATATCACAGCACGTCAGTTTCATGTTGGGACAAAGCCTGAAGTGATGCCAGTCCAAGACATTTACCACTTTCATGAAACCTTCGAGCATGGTGCTGACAAGTCTACAAATCAAATCAGGGATATAAATCCATGATTATAGGAATCTGATGTGCCCAAGGGACGAAACTCTGCACAGAGTCATGTCAATGAGGCATAGAAATGTATTTCTTTTTAAGTGTGCCACAGAGCACTCACTCTTAATGGTGTTTAGGTGTGCCCTTTGGAATTGAAAAGTGTTCCAACTAGAAGAATATTTTTGATCCACCATCAAACTCATTAATGTCATTTCACCCAGGAAAGATTAGAATCAGATGTAAATATAAGGCTTAAGAAAATAAAAGAATTGGTTCTCAGGCAATGGTTTTTAAAATGTAGTGCGAACGGGTAGTCTCTCTCTTTTTTTTGGTTGTTCAAACTAGTATGTAACCAAATAAACAATTGTGTACAATCAACCTGGGAATGGGCCTTCATACATAAATGTTCTTCTTGATGAGTAAAATACTGGAATACAGATTTTTGACTACAGTTGGACTTGGAATATTTAAGGATTTTTAAAAAATAATTTAATGGAAATAAAAACAAAAGTGCGGCGAACTTTGTGATGACGTGGGCGGTGCCTGAGAACCAATACTATTACTTTTTTTAGCCTAAATGTGTGCCCCCTTCCTTTCCACTGTGATTCATAATACCCTTCATCATTTCTGAATACCTATGGGTTTTCTTGTGAATCAAACTGTGCATTAAGCGTGTTCACATGTTCAAAAGCTTTTACATGTTTGTCACATAATATGTGCGAAAATACAGTTATAACTATATGGTTTCAAATAATAAACACTGTCACACAGTATTGTTGTTACTAAAGATATGATTTCTCAGTGTGCTTTTCTGGCTCCGGGGACATAATTTCATTTAGTGCTTCTCATTTAATGGGTTTATTGAAACCATAATGCACCGCTTTGTTAACCTTCGTTACATCATTTCCTCTTCCAATCTCCCGCCACTTATGTCATAATTCTACTTCCTATGATGTCATCAAACCTTCTTTCCTGTCATCAGCACTGTCCTTTAAATTAGAATACCGTTACTGTCAAACAATTTCTCTACCAGTTTTTGTACAGCGATTCTCTACTTTTTGTCTCTCACCCTGAAGGAATTTCAACACTGTCAATAATAAACTATGAAGTGTAGTCTCCCATACGGAGAGCTGTATAGCAATACCTATTGCAATACATATTGGGGCTCAGATGATATATATTTAGACTGCAAGATGGGTAGTATGGATAAACAAGACTACCTATTATGTCATCAAAATGGAATTTTAATGTTTTATTTTAATTCTTCTGTGACTGTATTGGAAAATATCAATACTCAAGGGTTGTATTGCGATAAGTGTATTGTTCTCGGACGTATTGCAATATACCGAAACCCCAGTTATATTGTACATCCCTAATTTTCTATGCTTGTCTGTAGTCCATGTCTAAAACGTAAAGTATCTTGTGACCATAACTCACATTAGTAGTACATCTTTTACTTGCGACAAAGACAGTTATAATAAATATCCTTTTACTATAAATGATATTGTTTACAGTCTCATGTGACATTTCAAGCCTTGAAAAATGTGTCGTTCTATTCTGGATTTGAACCCTATTAAGTATTGTATACCTTGAAGGATGCACACACAATTTCATTTAGTGTGTGTGACATCATGATTACACTGACAGCCATGCAACAACCAGCTGTATCACAGAATAAAACACTACCCATAATAGGAGAGGTGACATGAGCATATGTATGCTCAAATTGCCCTACGGTAACATCTTTTGTAGTTTGATTACGACAAAGAGATTAAAATATTATCATCATTAGATAGAAAAGGCTAAGAACTACCTGCATGAGTTAGTCAGTCACAGTGACAGAGCACCAAAATAAATTTACATTAAGTACACTACATCAATATGGCCGACATGATTAACGGAACGGAAAGCTTTCCAAAGTTGTTAATGAACCTGTGGCAATTACAAGCATCAGTCATCATTGATCAATTGGACGATCATTTAAGGGTAATCATAAAGATGTCAAATAGATGCTGAGGTAAATTCATTGAATGCTGTCAACCAACAGTTTCTGTGAGCATTTCTTCATATTGTTTGCCAGGATGCGTCATAGCGAGGATATTCGTGCAAGGGCATGCAGTCAAATTCTCTCACTTTTCCCGATGTATGCTAAATCACTGAGTCCAAGAATAGCGTCCATATAATCAGAAACAATGCTTCTGGATTTATTCATGCAAGGGAATTCCCAGGGGTTTCACCAGGAATGTGGAAGTAGTCTGTCAGTGTCTAGATCTTTTATGTCATTTCAAGAATACTGTCTCATGAAAATGTATTCATGAATGTAAAAATGTGTCGTTCATACGCCTTTGACAGTTTTGCGACCATGTGACAGGCCACTAGGTGGTTCCAATTGAAAAGCAGGTACTTTCTGTACACTCCATATCAAAAGATTATATCTTGATGTGCCTCATTAGTTGGAGGAGGACCAGACTTTGCAGGTGTATATAAAGATGTTAAATCCCCCAAATGCTTAAAACAACCACTGGGCCTACTGCAGTAGCTGAAAAGTTCAGAAAAAGAAATTAATAGATCTACATTAGGCTAAATTGATTCCATCTAAATTTACATATGTCAAAAACATGAATGCACGGTACTTTGTGTATTCTTCCTAAATCTATTTATCAACAGAGTAAAACTAGAACATACAGTTGGTGGTGTACAACATGACAAAGGAGTGACAAAATATGATGCATTTGGACCATCCCGTATTCATCATCAGCCGGTACTGGTCCTACTACACTACAAGGATGGAATAAACGTAACTTCTCTTAGTGTGATTCCCAAATCCCCTCTTTCTTACCTGTTGTGCAACCGGTTCCAAGATGCTCTCTATTGTCTTCGTATGGAAGACAGGCATATTTGTTGTAATCAATTAGGTCAATTAAATAAACACTGGAACTAACGAACTCTTCGAACAGACTCAACTTTGGTGTTTATTACTGTTATATATATATATCCCACTGCTGATAAGATTCCCCACACGACTATTTAAAATCTGTTTGTCTTTTCAATAACAGCATCCTCTAAGAGATTAAACATGGGTTCAGGGCTGTTAAACGGCGTGCTTGTTTATGTCACACTGTGAACAAATGAATCACCTTATCTTGAAACGACACCAAACTTATGTCCGCATCAAGAATGAACTCCAAAATCTTGGTAGTATATATATATATATGTTTCTTATTTCCACTTATCATCGTGTCACAGATGATTTTGGAAATTACATTACAAACTGAAACATGTGATTCGAAGGGGAATATTTTAGTTCCGGAGATATAACAAAACCACCAATTGTAGTTACATTTAAATCGATGTTTGAGTTTTTGTTTATAAATATTCATTATCAGGAAATTACCAAGATTCATATTACGTACACAGATCTCACACAATAAACTAAAAGAGAAAATAAAATACACTTACAAATTATTGCTGATGGAATGTGTGTGTGCCTGTGTGTATATATGTACCTATAAAGGGTCCTTATAGCAGAGATTTACTAGGGATATGGAAAGGGTCTTGTCGCATCTTTTACATTGATAATAAGTACTACTGCAAGTAGTACATTAGCTCAGTAAGTGGTTGGATATGGGCATGAGCCGGACGAGAAGAAGTTTATGAAATATAAATAACTTTTACTGTACATTCACGTTGCCCTTTCAGTTGAATAAGTAAGCGTAAAGGAAATCATCACGTTTCTTATTATTACATAACAGTGAAAAACAACACAAGTGAAATGTCAAACTGTTCCTATGGCCAAATAAGGAAACAGTTTTCGTGCTCGTGCGTTTTCCTGATGAGTAAATTGCAAAGGGGACCATTGTCATCATATCAGAAATGCTCATGCTCATGCTCAGTGGAATTTGTAACTTTGTTCGTGATTTATAAAATAAAATGATGACAGAATATGCAGTTTCAGAGCAGCGTTTCTAAAACACACGGTTGTCCGGTATAGCTATTTATAGTAACATTGGGAGTTCCTTCGAGCGAGAATGTTACCGACTGTATCAGACGAAAACGGCATCACTTCAAAACAGCACAACATAGCTTGTCAAAAACGTGGGCACAACAATAGATGGGTGATTTTACAACTAGAGACACAAACCAGGCTGAAACGTGTCAAATTCTAAAACTCTTTCATTATTTTGTCTGCTTAGGGAATTGACAGAGTCAAGTTTTGGGAGCGGGTCAAAACGGCCTCATGTCAGAACGTCCTCAAAAGGTAACTGTTCAGAGCAGCTAGAAGGGACCAACTGAACAACAAACACCCTTATCATACGAATGGTGACAGCGATAATGACGAGCAAGGCGACATTGTTTCTATGTTTAGAGACATTAAATACAGTCTTTAAACTCAAAGTTTCAGAGTTTCAGGGAATTCCGAGTACATGAACGAACAAATTCGTTAGACAGAAGAAAAATACAACGTAAGACTAAACTTGAGAGGCTTGAAGTAAAGTTTGACAGATACGATGCTCAGAGTAGTAGCTAGGAACAACATCATAATCCATGGTCTTGAGGATGTGGTTGGCGAGTCGTGGGACGACACAGAGAAGTTAGCCCGTGACTTCATGAGTGAGAAGCTTGGGGTGAAAGACGAAGATAAGTATTCAGTTGAGCGAGCACATCGCTTGAATACTAAATCAAAAGTAAAACCAGTCATCGTTAAGTTTACCTTTTTTAAAGAAATACGTTGTGTTTTGTATGCAGCCAAAATCAAACTCCGAGATGATAAATCGTTTAGAGTTGTAAATGATCTCACTGAGAGGGTAAAAAATGTTCGATGAGAGCTGATACCGTTCATAGTTCAAGCCCGAAATGATGGCAAAAGGGCATATGACCAATGGGCAAGAAAGAGACCCATAGTGGACACTGAATTTCGCTTTGATAGTTGCTTCATAGATATATCAACATGCCTACATATATGTTCATGGAATGTTCAAGGACTGTTAAAAAAAAAATGATAATAAGTTTTAAAGTTTTTAAAGTGCCTAATTGAAACTGTTTTACGACGTTGATAAAATCCGTTATCTGTTTAATGCTTATATCTGTTTCCCCGTCCCAGCAAAACGTATCAGTACAGTTGGTAGATTTTCTGGTGGCGTACGTAGCACTGTACATAAGAAAGAAATATGATCACTTCTCCAAGAGAATTCACCCAGAATGGGAAAAATGTGTGTCCGTAAGCTTTTTGGTCTGTAGAGAAACCGTTATTTTAGGAGGAATACATATACTGCCAGAAAATTCCCTATTGTATGGAAATCCTAAAGTTAATGGTATTGACAATCTTGATGATAAAATAGCCCGAACATGAAAGTCCTGTATTTGGAGATTTGAACGCTCGAGTTGCACTGCAGGATGATTTTATTATTGACAGTGAAGACGATGTAGATTTGCTGAACCTGGGTGAAATGTATAGCTCTTATTTATTTTGTATGCCTAGAACTTCTAAAGATGAAAAAGTAAATAAGTTTGGTTTATCACATCTGCAATCTTTGGGGTATCCATACAATTAATCAAAGAAAGCCTGGAGACAGTGAGGGATGTTTTACGTTTATCGACTAGAATTGAATGAACTTGATAGACCATTTTATTGCATCAACTACATGTACTATATTTGCTCATATTACCAACATGTTTGTGTATAGTCGTACAGAGAGTGATCACTTACTCATATCATGTCATTTTAGTTATTGTCCAAATCAAATAACTCAGTATCCCAAAGATAACGTACATATAACGTGTATCCCAAGATATATTTGGGAAGAAGGTGGAAAGCAACAATTTAATTCCCATTTTTCTTTGGATAAAGCATAATCAATTATTCAAAAATACTCTTAGAAAATTAGTAAATGAGAAAATAAATGAAGCTGCAGATGAATTAACAAATCTATTTTATGTTGCAGGATCTCATTTTGAGAAATTAGGAAAGTACAATCAGATTCATTTCAGGTTCATAATCAACCTCAGAGGTTCGATCATGAAAGTAATGTATTAAAAAAGTTGAAATACAACTGATACACAGGTTGAGTTACAAGCCAAAGTAAATGCACTTAAAGGTAAGCAGAAGCTTGATGTAGAGAAGCAGAAACTTGACATGGCCAAATTAAACCAAAAGATGAAGGAAGAGGAACTTGAACTGAAGACACAGATGGAAATATCCGAGGCCAAGTGTAGAGTTCTTTTGGACTTTAGCTATGATCAGTTTGAATTTTGGAGTGATGCTGAAGAATGACAATCCCAACACTGCTCAGTGACACTAACTTACCTCACATTTCAACAGAAAAAGGACCGGTCTGCTGGAATGACTGCAGGAGAGTAACAAGATAACAAGCAGCCTGGTAAAAAGATGCAAACCTTTCATAAGCTAATGTAAGCTCTGGTGATGCAGGTGTAATATATCCTGTGGTGCAGCAGCTACGTAAACCTCCACCTTACATGATTCAAGTGACAATTCCAGATAAAATATTGTAGATAATTCTGATTCAGTTGATGAGAAGATGAGCTACTTGGAACAATTTACCACTGGGGAAGCTCTGAAATATGTTAAGGGAGCTAGTTACTTGGACGGAAGGAGAGGTTATAGAGCAGCTTGGATGGAGTTGGAAGAAAGGTATAGCAACGAGGAGGTTGTGGCTTCTGCTTTAGTGAAACGTGATCTCAGTTGGCCTCAAATCAAGATAGACAATCCAAGATCTACTGATGAATATGCTATCTTCTTACAGGAGTGTTTGAATGCTGTGAGTACAATTACTGCTGTCAAAATCCTTGAATATCCTGATAATCTGAGGAAGTTAGTCATGAAATTGCCCTGTTTTTATCATGAAAAGTGGAGAAAACTTGTCCTCCATGTTCGAGATTCTGGAAGATTGGTTGATTTTCAGGACCTTGTCAACATTGTCAAGCGTGGGGCTAAGAAAGCAGTAGACCCCATGTTTGGAAGAGATGCCCTGAAAACTGAAGAAAAGAGTAAACCACCACCCCGAAGACCGCCAACTGCATCACTAAAGCCATCATTCAGTACTGATGTGGTAGGAGCTGTAAAACCCCCCAAGGATTCTCTGAAGCCACCTTTAGTTGTGAGAGCCACGGTTCCTGTCAAAGCATAGACTGGACCAGTTCCATGTATGTATTGTGATGATCTGTCCCATTCGGTTGGTCATTGCCAAAAGATTATTTTAAGGCCTCACATTGAGAGACTTTCTTTCCTGCGATCAAAGGGCCTGTGCTTCAGGTGCTTGAATAAAGGACACACCAGCAAGGGTTATTCCCAGAGGGCTGTTTGCTCACATTGTAGTGGAAATCATCAGTCCATTCTTCATGTTGATCGGAACACAGACGTGAAAATCATCAGTGCCTGTGCTGGACTCTCCAACATTCTTGGTACCTATAAGGAGGCCGGTAACTGTGTAACTACTCTTGCTATCATACCTGTTAAAGAGGCCTGTAGAAATGGCATTACAGTTGAGTCCACATGTGCCTTTTTGGATCCAGGGAGCACTGTGTCGTTCTGCTCAGAAACCCTAATCAACCGGCTTGGATGTAGTGGGAGGAAGATGGAAATCATCATTGACACAATGGGACAGCCGCACACATCTGTAGTTCAAGCAGTAAATGGGCTCCAAGTATACGATCTTGAGTTGAAGAATGCTTTATCCTTACCAACCATATACTCTAGGGAGCATATACCAGTATCCATCAAGTACATACCTACGTCCCTGGATGCATCACAGTGGCCTCATCTAGCTGACATCAAAGTGCCAGAAATTGATGCCAAGGTCGAACTTTTCATTGGAGCCAATGTACCAGATGCATATTCTCCAATCGAGATTCGAACTGGTCCTCAAGGTGGTCCACGTGCCTCAAGAACTCAATTGGGTTGGGTTCTATGGAATGTCATGCGAATACAAAGGACAGTAGTTTCCCATCTATGAGAGCAGAGATTGCTTTGATCAAGAATGCAGAAGAAGTGAAT